AGAAAAAATAAACTTCAAGAAGTTATAGAAACTGCAAAAAGGACAACTAATTCCTGAAACAATATAGAAAAACTTTACAAAAAGCTTTCAAATTGCTAAAAAGAAATCAATGTTGTCTGCGGAATCTAAGCCGACAAAAATTAGCTTAGCTTCAAGAAATTTTAGTTTAGACAAAAAACAGGCCATGACTGAAATCGAACTTCTGAGATTTATCGTCCCAAGCATAGGTGTTACCACTACACTAAATGCACAGAAACTTCATTGAAATTTCAATAATAACAACTTATTTCGAAAATCAATTATGCACAGCTGGAAAAAAATAGCATAAATAGGCAACACTTTTAAAGCTCAATTACCAAAACCGGAAAACAATGAATTGTTTTTAAATTCGAACAGAGTTGAGCAAAACTGGTGCTGAGGCAACTATGCCGACAAAAAAGCAGACAAACAGAAGTCCGACAAAAACATTTTGACCCGCGGAAAATTGCCTGCTTACAACATAACAGGCCCTGGCGTGATTCGAACGATTGATAATTGTTTTTCCAGGTAAGTGCGTTACCTCTTCGTCAAATGTGCGAATTAACGGCTTTCTTTTGATTTCGAATATAATTTAGGTAAAATCATTCGAGCGATTCTGTTAGTTTACTCGTTAACCCAAAAAAAAATTATGTTCTGGTTTGTTAACGCATGCTAAACGCAAGCGCATTAATCGGAAAGAAGTTTCGAACTTCAGGTTGAATCATCCCACAATAGCAAATTTATTTATATCTGTTGCTTGCATCTGATTTGTTTTTTTTGTGTAAATCGTGATCAGCTCTTATTCGTTTATGACATTGCTCAATGGTTCATTCTGGCAATCTTGGCGATTAGTTTTCTCCTTAATTTCAAATCTCATACGCAAAGAATCCTCTAACCGCCTATTTGTTTTTTGCAGCATTTCAGTGTTCGACTTCGTCTTGCGCCTCCAAGCAATTATTCTTTTCAGTCTATAGAATTCTAACAATTTGGTTTCGTCAGTATTGCATTAAATAAACTTCCAAAACGAATTACATGCCTTTTATGGGCTAATATTAGCTGTTGTCTGGTTAAAATTGGACAAAATTGGGGAAAAAATCTGAGAAAATGCATAACATGTTTTTATTTATGAAAATTTAGTTCTATGGTCGCATTGAACTCCTAGATATTTGAAACATGCAATCACGAGTTTCTCAGTTATCTTTTCAGAAAAAATTGACACATAAAAAATCAATCAAAATCAATGGTACAAAATTCATCAAAAATTCAATGATAAGTGTAAATTTGTCAACTTTTTTCGTAAAAAAGACCAATTTGTTCGATATTCAACCAGCCACTTACTTTTAGTAAAGCCTGTTGGTTTATGAGTGCAATAGATCCTATTCTGTTTTTCAATTGGAGAACGGTAGCATCTGCATACAAAATGTGCTTCACGCGGTTATTTGAACTTCATTTAGGTATAGAATGAATAAATGCAAGTATAGATCCCTGATGTACCTCAAAGTATCGTAATTTCAAATGGATCTTGTAAAAGTTTGTCTTCATATACTGATAACATAGTTTAAACGGTTAATATTTGGTCCGGTAATTACGCCAAAACATCTTCTAACAGTGCGATAATGGGGTGAATTCCTTTTTGATTTGAAAAAAACCTGAGTGATTATAAAATAAAGATCTGAAAAAAATTAGGTTGATTTTTAACCGCTGAAACAATTTTTCCCGGAAAAGTAAAAAACCAAATTAGTTCAGAGACTGAATTATTTTTAATCTTTGCTTATGTTACAATTAGTACAAACATTACAACTGCCAAAAATTTTGGGCCGTTTTTTGTTTTTAAACAGTCAACAAAAATCTCTTTTAAAACACATCCTGGTATGTTTGATATTTTTTGTCGAGAACATCGTTGAAATCGTATTAATCTTTACTGTTTGTTTTTACTGACGTTTCGATCAATTGCTGGCTTTAGATGTAACTAAAAATGGTATGAAGCGTCAATATACTTTTATAAGATTGGCTTTTATTGGAAGACTAAGGGGCTTGTGATCTAGATTTGGAAATTTTATTGACTATTGATGAATTTGAAAATCAAGAGGGGCAATTTTTTGCCGCAATTCCTCATGCAATTGTGAAAATTTTCAATTTCCCACGAGAAAAACTTATGTTTAGTTGTGTCATGAAAAAAAACTGTTTGTGGCATCCCTAACGTCAGTTACTGCCCCTGCGTCGAACAGTGGATTCTACAAAAAATACAGCCTTCGCTAAAAATATGTTTTCTGATCTGGCAGCCTGTTGTCTATTTTCATAAGCCTACCTTTAAGGATAAAAGGTCTGTGATTTCATACTCCTGTTTTTTATATTTTTTCCGTCAAAAAAAAACAACTGTTCTGATTCCACAAAACTCACATTTTTTCTTGTACTTGGATAATTCTTGCATTTCAAATTATTAGAACTTTATTTTTCGTCGAGTTTCTTGAGTGTTTGGGACTTAATGAACTTTAAGAGCACGGATTAATTTTTTTTCCGTAAAAAATTTTTTTTGTTCAATTGATCATTTCAAAGTAAGCATTCGAAACGCGCAATTAGAGTGGAACATAATTGCTAAGTCAAACTACCATTATTTAAGTGTGTACAAGGAAACAGCTAGAAATAGGTTGTCACTTCAATTGAAATTGGACAAACTAAGACCTTCCAAACTCCATTCTATGCTAGAAGCGTAGGTGATTTGTTTCCGCTGCAATTTACGGCTATTGAGAAATGACTGTTTTGGTGGTGGTATTTTATCGGTGGTATCGAAGCTTTTGTTGAAAAAAGTCTGTTAAGGAAGCTTTTCTCATATTTTCTGGATCTTTGCATGAGCGTAAAACTTCTTTCCATTGTTAATCAGTTTCAGCGCATCATCATAAACAGCTTGATTGCATAATTTGCCAACAGAGAAAAAGACTCTATACGAATTTAGAGCCGGCCATTGCCGCAAAGCAACCATAAATCTAGAAAAACAGAGGCGAAGCTGAGCTTCGCACCACTTGCGTTATAAATATGAACGCCTATGATTAAAATCAGACAAAAAAAATGTAAGAAATTTTTGTCATTAAAAAATGCAACAAAAGCACAAAATATCCGGGAAAGAATTGCGCACACCATTAGAAAACTCTGCGAAGGCTAAAAACAAGGTAAGTTTTCAAAAACAAATTTGTTCAAAAATTTCTTCCTGTGGAACTAAGCAGAAAAAAAAGACCGAAAATAATCTATTTTAGCCAAAAAAATTTTTTTGCAAAAAAAACACAGATCTCAACTAAAGTCAAAATTCCGAGCTTTTTTGTCTCAAGTGTGAAGATTACGTCAACTTGGAACAAAGTTGAACCATCGAGCTACGGGAACCAAGCCGACAAAAACAAACCGACGGACATTAGTCCGAAAAAGCACAAAAACTCTTTTAGAAAAAAAGGCTGGGCCGTTTTCAAACCGCAAGCTTTGTACATCTAAAACTGCTGTTTTACCTCTACACCAGATGCACAGGATGGTTGTTTGGATTTGAATTTATAAGTACCAAGCGGTAAAAAAAAATCCGAAACTTTAGCAGAAACCCTTCAAGCCGAAAAAGTGCAAAAAACTCCAACTTATAAAAAGGTTCAGTCCTTTTCCCCTCAGAGCACACACACACTTGCATTAATACTTCGTTTGGTCGTAACACAAACTATCAAGCCGATAAAAAGAAAAAAAATAAAAAATGAAAAAAAAAATTTAACATATCGAGCTGATAAAATTTCAACCAATTTGAAAAGCAAATTCTAATTCTGATGGGTTTCTAAATTGCTAAAAACAACTACAGCGAGAACTGTTTACAGCTTAAATAAACGGTTCTTAAATGTGGCAACCAAGCCGACAAAAGACAAGCAGACAAATAATAGGCCGATTTTTTTTGATCAGATTAATTACCATTTGAAAAAAACTGGTCCTGGTCAGATTCAAATACAGGACTTTTGCCGTCCCAAGCGTAATCGTTACCACCAAGCTAAGTGTGCAAGAAAAACCCCAAAATTTGAATTCATTATGAAGCAGGGTACATCAGGAATTCAATGAGTCCTGTGGACAAAGTTGCTTACGTGGAAAATAGTCTAGTAACCGATTGTAGAAAATAACCCTAATAGCCTGTTGGAAAACTTGCCTAATTATCTGCGACTGAAATGTCTGAGCTTCAAGTTGATTTCAAATTTTCTGCAGATTATCTTTTTTCAACATCAAAGCAATTAATTTTAAGTTACTTACTGAATAACATAAGTGGTCATTTTATTACTTATGCAATCTCGATGCCACTTCAAAATATTTGGGAAAAAGATGGGTTGTTTCAATTTATTCGAAAACCGTAATTTTTCCATATTTTCCTGTTATTCATCTAATTGTTTCCTACTGACAGCAAAAGACCACAAATGTCTTTAAAACGTCTTTCCAAGCAAACAACTTGGGCATTTGAATGTGTATACTGCAGTAAGTTTCTCTTCAATGGATTTGAGAAAGAATTTTTGAAAAGCTATCGCGTATTTTGCAGAGTTTTAGTTATACGGTTGATCCAAGATATCAAAATTTCAGACAATCAAAAAAAGACACTTAACTTGAGTTTTTTTAAACGATCTGGCTGACAAAAAAGTAGGGGACATTTTATACTAGCAAAAAGGACAGACGTACAAACCGGAACAATTATTATAATTTAGAAAATAAATTGTAAAATAATAACTCCTGACGAACCAAGAGAAGACTTTCGAACATTTTTGTCGTCCTCTTTCTGAATGAGCAGACAGTCGTTTGAAATCATTAAGATTTTTGGTGTTATTGGCTTTCTAACAAATTTTCTGGACATGATTCAGAAAATATTTCCAAAAAAAAACGTATGTGATTATATCCTACAGACTTAAAATTTATATTCTTTAACAAATTACTGATTGCATAAGTTTGCGTCTTTCACAATTACGTTGATCGGTGGTACAAGAATGTTTTCAAAATCAATTTGTTATGCCAAACGTGTTTTGTCTTTTTACTAAATACACACGTTTTAATTTTAAAAACAATTTAAACTTGCATGTAAATTAAACATAGTAGTGAGCAAAGTCAGTCTTCGCAAAATGGACGATTACTTGACCTGTCCCGACTGTGGGATGTTTTTCAAGTCGGCGAATCTATTCAGCAAACATCAAAGGGAGTTCTGCATTGGAGCGGCCACAGTTCCAGGAAATCTAAGCGGGATGCCATCTGGTCTCCAAATGGTAAAAAAAACTTGACATTTTTGCTAAAAATCAAAAGAAGCTAGAAATTATTCACTTTTCTAATGAATTTCTGACATACTCCTGCCTTTCAAAAATTTTCCTGTCTCGATTGTCTTTGAGAAAAGTTTTTTGAAGAGAGAATAGAGATATTTTTTTTCTAAAGAGAATAACTTTGAAAACGAGAGATTGAGTTTTTTAGGGAACTAGTCGAATTGGAGCGAATGATCTGTCCAAGAGAGGCGCATTTGACGAAAAGGTAAAATAAAAACTTTTCATTTTTTCTCTGCTCATTAAATTAGTAACGTTGTTTTTTTTTCAAACTTTTGGCGTTTGTTCAGGTCGATGAGTTGTTGGCGTTGAAAAACCGAAAAGCGAGACAGCGGGAGGAAAAAGACAGACGAATTTTGTCGGGAAGGAGCGAGGTAAGAATCACTAGAATAAATTATCAGACACTTTTAATCTAAGCTTCAATTTTTTTCAGTTCAAGGGCATGTTTATAGGGGAGAGATGGTTTTTTCTTGCTGGATTTCGACCCCTCTTTGTTACTGTATAATGATATAGTTTTTGGTTATCTATCGAAAAATGAACAAAAATTTTGATAATTTTTTGAAATATTTCCCTCTTCGGGAAAATGCGTGATCCACTCCTGGATTCTCCATACTGAGCTCTCATTTAGTAGTGTATTTAGAATACTCTAAGCTTTATGATTTGGCGTGAAAGAATACTAAATTTAAGAGTGTGCCGAAAACGCGCGTCGAATATCGCAATATTTTGGTCAATACCTTCCGAAAAATGCCCTTAATGTGACATGTTTTGTTTTACCTGTTTTTTTTTCTTCAAAATTTTGCCTGCAGCGCAAAAAAATTGCCAAAATAATACCTTCATAATGTTTTCGTAGAGCTCGGAAAATTAGTTTCGCCGAATTGAAAAGGATCCACGAAACTTTGCAACATGTTTGAAAAATCTTTTGCATGCGTTGTTCATAAAAAAAAAGAGGTGTGATTTGAAGTAGATTGGTTTTCAAACTTGAAGTTACGATCAAAGTTACTTGTTCGTTAGGACTCTCGAGGTTCGGCGGAGGGTTCGATTGATGAGCAGATTGATCGACTTCAGGCCAAGATAGACCAGAACACCTTCATGTCACCAGGAAAAGGGGCGAGGCCCAATGCAGGAAAGGTAGATAGAAATTTAGCCTCAAAAGAACTTCCGCTTTTTGTAACAGTCGTGAATTTTTGGCGATATTTTGGTTTGAAACAGTTTGGAATTTCACGCGATTTATTTGTTGTTGAGCATTTGTGTTTTGATATTCTGCTTTTTGAATATTTTAGCGAACTCAAATGTCTGAAACCAGGAGCAGATTGGACAGTGCCAAAATTGCTCTGGAACATAAACGAGCCGAGATAGCCCAGAAAGAGCAAGGTAATTGAGATTAATAAATAAAAAGAGCGCGAGCATGCAAAGGTTACAAAAATCAACTTATGTAACCTAATGTCATTGGCTAATTAAACTTTGCCAAAAGGGACTTTTTAGTGCTTCGGAAATGCTCGGTAAAAAATTTTGGTCGACCCAAAAAAAAATAGGCCACAAAATTTTCGAAATTTTTTGAAAATCCGCCCCCCATAAGAAAATCCTAGATCTGCCCCTGGCTAATTTAAAAACTTTATAAGTTTAAATACCAAACTTGATTCGAATTTTACAAACGACTTTTTGCAAGTGCAGCTATACCAAATGACGGTTTAACAAGTACAAAAAATTATTCATGAGAAAAGTACTGTTTTCTTTCCAATATGAAATTAAAATTTCAGAGATTGCAAACCGACTCGGCCAATTAGCCCAAGGTATTCAGCCTCCAGCCGTCGCTGCTCCCGAAACAGACGTTGCAATTGCCAGGGCCTTGGAACAACAACAGGAAAAATACAATCGAATGATCCAGGATCTGAAAAATGAGGTCGATGATTTGAAAAAGTCCACGACTCCGCCTTTTGGTCATGACCCTCTGGCAAACCCCGCGGCTACGTCACGTGACCCAAAGGTCATAGAATCTATGAACTTGGTGGTTGAACTTCAAGGTCTGAAGAAGAACTATCTGGACAACGGTGGGGATGATCAGAGGTTTCTGAAGCAGATTGATGATACAATTAAAGAGGCGATTCAGTTCCAAGCGGACGGAAATGGAGAGGCGCTGGCTAGTTACAGAAGCCAGATGCAACAACAGCCAGAGGCGAGTGGACCACTCGAAAATGATCCGATCACTCAAAAGGTATCCTTGAATTCAAATCTAGTCTCGCTCCTATTTTTTCATAGGTACATCTGAAAAATATCAATTAATTATTCCTGGTAGATCGGATGTTGACTGAAAAAAGCAGTAACTATTTTTTCTTTTTAGTTCATGGAGTACGAGCTTGAAAACAAGCGACTAATGCAACATTTGGACGAACTACGCAACCCACGAGACCCAGGTATCGATGAGTTAATTAACCACTTTCATGCCTGAAACAAAAAGTTCAAATGCTTTGACCAGTCGCTTGCTCCAACTCTCAAGATATTTCAAGAGGCAACCCCTCCACAAAACCCCCTCCCGACAACACCGCCACCACCGTCACCCCCAAATATATTCGGCTCATCTATACTTGTGGCATTCTGGCGCTCCGGTAGTGATTTTGCCCAGCAATCATAAAATAGCGGGTTCAAATCGCACGTGCGTTGCAATTTGCAAGGTGAGACCTTGTAAGTAAGTCATAGGCGTGCTACGGATGCTGGTTCTATGCGCACTTCGTCAACCTAAAAAATTAAAAGAATTAACCTTCGAGAAAGGACTCCGGGCTGGTTGACTAAAAAAAAAACAAAAAAAAATGAGTTAGCAAACCGGCTTCATTTTTGTCGCTCTAGAGACAGAAGAGATGCGGAAGATGCAAAAGAGTCATGCTCTGAACATGATGCGGATGCAACAAGAGATGGAGCTCATGCGACACCAGGCAGAGATGATCAAACTCAAGTCACAAATATACGGCACCAAACCAGATCCCCAGGTTAGCATTTTTAACACGATTTATCCACAATGGTAAGGACGGAGTGTGGTCTGTATTTTGACAACCGCGTATTCATACTCGTCAGTATTTAGACAAATACTGTATGAACCAATCAGAATCGATATAAGACATAAATAATCCAAAATAAATAATAATTATTTATTAATTTCTTCCTTGTCTCGATTCTGATTGGTTAAAACAGTATTTGTCTAAATACTGACTACGCGGTTGTCTAACACTGCTACGTAACCGATAAGGACAAACACACGAGCTGTTCAGCTCATCATGGAGAACCGCCGTTGTTCCCTTTTTAAAGATGTACATGCAATTTTTTGGCAATTTTTTATTGGTCTGGGTAATGCAGCCTCAGCCTCAAGCAACGAGCACAGGTCATGGTGGGCCTCGAACATCCGACCTTTCGATTGAGAGGTCGAGACGTAACCACGTCACTATCGCTCCCTTTAACATTTAACTCATAGTCTGAAATGCGAAGAAAAATTACAAATGAACTATTTTTAGAAGGCCTGTTAAGGCCTACTGACAGTTTTTCAGCTATGCGCATGATAGTGGTTCAATAAAAATTATTATGATTCTTGATTTTTGATAAATAGTTTTATTTTATTGAAGAACAGTTTCTTAAATTTATTTACACCATACGCATAGCATCGGATTCCAATTTTAAAAGGAAAATTTCGCAAGTGATTGACTCAGAAAAACTTCAGTAAAACCAGAGAATTCTCAAACTTTACGACAAATTTTCAAGAAAGAATGTACTAAGGCTCATTGTTTATTTTTTTTTCACGCATCTCAAGAGAGTTTTGCAAAAAAGCTGTAACAGTCTAATCAAAACTGCGTGTTCTTCTAAAAAATATCTTTCCATTTTTGATTCCAACCGTCAATAAAAAAGGAACCTTTTGAGTTTAGGAGCACGCAATTGGTCTGGGATTCCCGATGCCCGCAATGCAGTTTGTAGGAAACGCGCCAAAACCCGAGAACGCCGGATACTTCGGGACAGCCGGGACAACAATGCCTAATCTTCCGCCGGCACCTTTCGATCCGGCGTATGTTTTTTACACAACCAAAAAACCAAAAAAAAACAAGAAACAACCGATAATCTATAATTTATCATTTTTGTCCAAAAAATATTTGTTCTAGCGCCGGATTTCTAGTTTACTACGACTTCGTTTTGAACATCGATGTCCGATATCGAAGTGTCCGCCTTGTAGTCGTGTTGTTACGGGGGAACTCGGAGTTCGGAAGTGAACAAGTTCTCGGGCTGCGTGAGTGTCAGATGACTCAACTAAACAGCACTGCCGGGTTTTATCCACAACATATCATGTTTTCATTGGTGGGAACCGAACAGGTCATTAGCAAGTGAGTTACTTTACAAATCGAAATTTTGATAATAGTTTGAAAAATTATGCTTGAAAAAAGTTTTCAGACCGATTCTTAAAATTTCAGCTTTTTTGTTCTGTTTAAATAATTCCGCATACGACTCTTCGAAGTTGCTCTCAGAAATATATCCTTGAATAAAATATTCTTCGATTGAGACTTCAAAAAATGAATATATTTTTTGAAAAATGAATATGTTTTTTGAAAGTATCCGTGAACAAAAGTTTTTTTCAGCATCCAGCCTTCGGAAAACACGACGATCCTCGTTCAAGTTCAGGCGACTTCAAGTATGACGTCAGATTTGGAGACGATAGCTTGGACTAAAGTTCTTCTGTTTGACGACCAGCTGCGACTCATTTCTGGACGGTGGAAACTTCCGCTGCGGAAACTTCCAGTGCGACCAGAAACTACACCCCGAGAGCTGAACACAATTCCACAGGCAACGGCTGTTTGATTTTTTTTCAAAAAAATTGTCTGCTAAATGTTTTTTTTCTAGAAAAATTTGTTTGACAAATTATAAACAATTTATAACAAATTTGAGCTTGGATCTTCATAGCTTACAGAAGAAGACAATGAAAATATCTATTTTCATAATTGTTTTCGTAGCTCTCTCCATTAATGATACGATAACAAAAACGATTGGACAAAAAAGAGAGAACAATTTGATAAATCGAAAAACATTTATATTATGATTATTATTATATATATAAATCGTTTGTTCCAGGAGGGAGGCATGGAATTGTTTTATCGACTGGTGAACTACAGAGACAAGGGAACCCAAAACGGAGTCCGATTCGGACCCCAGCATCATCAGGAGTACCAGTATCCCACTATCAATGTAAGGAAATTCTTACTCAATTTATATAATGTGCAGAAAACATTTGCAGAAAAAAGAGAGAAGATAGCATGCAGTTTCATCACTCGGCTATTTTGTTAAACTTTGAAATATTACGAAGAATTTAAAAATGAGCACAATGTCAAAATAAAAAGCATTAAAATTTTAGCACTTTCTGAAATAATTTTTTTTTCAGTGAAAAATAAGTTCAAAAGCAGCGCAAGGCAAATAAAAAACGTGTTTTTGAACGATGCGAAATAATTTTATCGCGTTTTTTTTTAATTTAAGCTTGACGGGATCGGAGCTTCGTACATTCCTCTGAATTACAACTCAATGGTCAATCGAGGACCACAGCAAGCAGCTGCAGGACCTCCCGCGGCAGGAGGTGGGGGAGGTCGCTCCTACAAGAACCCAACGATAGTTTACAAACCAGCAGGAGCCGGCAGAGGGATCATGTCCGATTCTTCTGGGGTTGGGAGAAGAGGCAATCAACCGATGACGGGGGGTGCTCCGAAACCACCTTCGATGCCACCGCCTACCACTACTGATGATTTCTCAGAAGCACCTCCGCCAGCTCTGTAATTTTTTAAAACCACTTTTTTCACAAAAATTTATTCATTTTTATGACAAACAACAAAAATGATGTCATCCTGAAGTTTTTGAAACTCATGAACGTTTACCTAATTTAAAGAATGAGAAAACACTTTTAAATTACCAGATAAATTACCCAAACTAAGTATCATTCGCTTTCTACATCACAACCATAAGAGCCAGGTGATAACGAGTATCACACAAAAGCGTCCCTTGATCCAACTGAACTGCTTTCAAGATTCTTTTTAGAAATACTTCTTCTCGTTTCAGATCTGGCAGACTGAACTACGGCAAGGGTCTCACTTCCATATCTGGAGAACCCATTCCTGTTACCCTGGCCTTGGGATACCTCAAAAATGTCCCCCCGGGCGAGGCCAAAGTGAGGCTGACTATGTACAGTCGCACGACGGGGGAGTACGTGAACAGTCCGTTCGGCCCTGTCACTATGACGTCACGTAGTGTGCTCTCCACTTACATGGACAACTATCACATGTTCGGGAAGGAACAGGTAACTATTGATCCAAGTTGAAGCCACCGCGAAATCGATTTCAAAAATTTGAAAAAAAAAATGTTAATTGAGTATCATTAAGACAAAATTATTATTTTGCTTTGCTTTGAAGAACATTTAGAGTCAAATCAGCGCTCATTTATTGCTGGCAAACTGTCGAAAACATTTCAGCCGTTTAAGACACATAATAACATTTTCCATTAGGCCAATTTTCATTAGCCCTTAATTAACTGAAGACTTATGCGAAATTTTGAAAATCGGCCTAAATTAAATCTGTTTTTGTTAAGCTAAAAAAGTATACAACGGCAGGTCTATCAATTTTCAAAGTGTACAGTCATTTAGATCTTGACTCTAACTTAACTGGCCTTTCCACAACCCGACAGTTTTCACATGACATGCAGACCGAATGACTCTCGATCTGTTCACAGGTGCGGTTCGATGACGTCACACCAGCGAGGGATCAGATAGTGGTGGCGAGAGTCTACTTGAGACCACAGGTCAAGCCGGGTCAGGACGAGGCCAAAGCCTATAGAGGTCACTTGAATACTACAATAAGACACCTTAAAATTCACATGAATAGCTCATTTTTTTAAACTAACAATTTAACTAAACGAACATTTAACAACATGCGAAGCCAATTGTATCTCGCAAAAAAGCAAAGAAAGTTATCATAAAAAGTTAATTTATTCAGTGATTATAAGTACAAACTGTCACTATCAAACACGATTGTCAGTATAAAAAATGAGTATCAAACAAAATTTTCTGGGGAGCCTAAATTGGAAAATGAACCAAATTGAGAAAAAACTCCAGTTGTACTAGGATGTAGCCCTTTATTCCTTCCATATGGTAATAACTCGATAATTTGCAATCCAATTATTTGTCTCTTTTGCAAACACAACTTTCTGTTTATATTATTTTTTTCAATTGTTTAAATTTTTTTTTAAAAATTGCACAGAGGAGTCGCGCATTCTGGACGACGAGCAGGTGGTAGCATGGGGAGTAGTGCCGGTGATGACCGAGTACGGAGACATGAATGCCGGCACCCATCTGTTGCCTCTCTTCCAGATTCCAGTGCCAGAGGCCACTGAGATGCCCGTGGGGGTGAGCAGACATTTCACTGGAAAATAAAAACAGCCGGTTACTGTGCAATTTGAACAGAATGTTCCGACCACGCTTAGTTTTCCAACAAAAAAGTTACAAAAAAATAGAAATAAATGAAACTTCAAAAAAAATGTCCAAAACTTTTTGATTTTTACCGATTTTTTGTTTTTTTTAGCTTGCAAGATAGTGAGAAAAGACTGAATTGTTAAAAAAGCTAAAAGAAAAGTTTATATTTGCTAAAAATAAATCAATGTGGTCTTTGAGGGGTCGGAACAAAAAATAACCATTACTAAGATGTCACTTATATTTTAAACATGATACAAAATAGTTCAATTGACTATAATTCAAATCATTCTGAATTTAATCCCAATTCAGAACCATTTGACTCTTTAAAGTGTTCATATAATAATCGTAATTTAAGTTTTCAATAAATAGAATTGCCGTTTTACTTGACAGCAGCAAACATAAAGCTTGATCACTTTTTGTTCTAGAAAGACGAGTTCGCTCTAGCGCGTCGAGGTGAGTTCAGACGGTACGGGACAGCTGAGCTGAACATGAGTCTCTACACCATCGGGTCACTGCCCAGAGTAGACGAGGGGGACTCAGACGACGACTACATACCCGACCCCCCTCAGCTGGACGACTACGCTGACATGCACGAGGTAGGCAAAATCAGTCGGATCTGTTTTGCATTTGCATAAGCAGGGATGTTCTTTGCTGGATTTAATATCCGGGTAACAATTGAAAAATACTTTTTTTCATAACTAGCTAGGTAAGATGCAGCAATCCTGTAGCACGCCAAAAAAGCATACTAGAATGAATGCTTGAGTTTTATGTTTAAAAAGTAGCGTGCCGAGGGGGGCTGGAGGGCTCCAGTTCTGGGGGGAGGAGGTTTTTGCTGTTGGTTGCTTAATTTTTCAAACTCTTTTTTTTGCTATTTTTACGGGGCAGACACTTTTGGAAAACTTTTCTATAGGCGCATTTTGTTTTTGCTTTGAGACAACGAAACTTTTGGTCCAACCCTTTCAAAAAGAGCTTAGTGGGCTTTTCCGAAGAGCCTGAACTTTTCGAAACGGCTGACCCAAAGCAATTCATCCAAAATGCTTTTTCAAACATGCTAGAAGATTTTTCTACAAGAGGACACCTTTACGCGAAATCCGTTGAATATTCTTAAATGCGGTTAAAAATTGAACTCAATTTGAAATCTCAACTCATTAAAAAGGATTCAAACTCATTTTGAAATTTTATTGTGGTTGTCTGTAATTTCGACGATTATGCAATTCAATCAACGAAGTATTTTTTATGGAGTCCACATTAGTTTGGTAAATGGATTCGTTGGTTGAATTTTTCTCGTTTTAAGACGTGTCTCTGGATTCCACAGACTAACAACACACGCAAATGTGTGCGCCTTATAAAGGTACTATTTGGCTTCGTATTGAACAAAAAAGAAATTGTCTATATAGCTGTATAGATATAACAGAATTGGTGGCGTTTTGGAAATGAAATTATTGAATCTTCTTAAACCATTCTTTATCTATCGACTATCTTGAAAGTTTCTGAATAAAAATTTGTTAATTTGTAACTGATTGAAAGTTTTTTATACTTATTATACTTCATTTATTTGATTACAGCGGTTACAGAATGAGGCTTTGTAAAGAAGTGACTCTAGGAACTTGCAGATGAATGCTGTTCATTAGCAATGGAGTTGTATTTGTATTCTGTTCGAACTGAATTGTAAGTTTTTAAGCCAAAATTCCTAGCCATATTTCACGAAAAGGGTGTTTATCGGCATTTCAAAAATTAGGTAAATTTTTCAAAGACGCGTGCGAACAATATAAACTTCAAACGGGTACATGCAGGCGCGGATCTAGGAATTTCTCGAGGGGGGGGGGGCGGATTTTCAAAAAAAATGTTTTTAGGCACTTACCTTTACTTTGCCTAAAATGTTTACATTTTTTAGGCACTTTTTGGAAAAATTTGACCAAAAAATCGCGTTTTTTTTGTGCGCGCTCCCCCCTCAAAATTAGTACATATTGGCCCCGAAGGCGCCTTCAGAAAACTTTTAGGGTCCGTCACCAAAAATGGATATCTCAAAATAGTACAAAGGGGAGACCCTTTGGGTCGGCAGGGGGTCGAATCCCTGAGGGAGAAAGGCGCCCCCCCCCCTAAATGCGCTACTGGGTACATGAGATACAATCTGATGATCAATGGAGTAGTAAATGCAGCTGGCAGAAGCAAAGATGAGTTATTTTCTATTTAATACTCAGCGCTTGCTAAAAAAATTATTTTGTACTTTACATAGCGAGTGGGGGAATAATTTCCGAAAAATAATTTAACTTTTTTTAAAGTTTTTTAAATTTTATAAATTTTAACTGTTTTGCCGCAATTTTCTTTCTGGCTTTTTAAAAAGTGATTCTTTCGATATTTTGTTTCAATTGTCATTGCGAGAGTGCATACCGGGGTATTTCGTATTATTTTCAAAAGCATTTACAAATGGAAATTTTTTTATTGCTGCAAATAAAAACTCAAGCGAAATGCTTCTATACTTTTTGAACAGACAAGTAATCAGGGGCGGATCTAGGATTTTCTCGAGGGGGGGGGGATTTTCAAAAAATTTTCGAAAATTTTGACGACCTTTTTTTTTTTTTAGGTCGACCAAATTGATTTTTCGAGCTCTCCCAAAGCACGGTTTTGTCCTTATTTTGGCCAAATTTTTTGGGCCGCAGGCAAAATTTTGAAAAAACAGGTCAAAAAAGGCGTTTTTAGGCACTTTTTGGAAAATTTTGACCGAAAAATTGCGTTTTTTCGGCGCGCGCTCCCCCCTCAAAATTAGTATATATTGGCGCCGAAGGCGCCTTTAGAAAATTTTTAGGGTCGGTCGGCCAAAAATGGATTTCTTAAAAAGTATCAAAGGGGGGACCCTTTGGGTCGGCAGGGGGTCGAATCCCTGAGGGGGGGGGGCGGACGCCCCCCCCCCCCTAAATCCGCCCCTGCAAGTAATAATAGTTTTCATTAAAAAATTTTCATTTTTCTTAAATTAAATATTTTATTGGATTTTTATCTAGAATTATTATTTGTTATATTACATACGCTGAAACTAATAGTTGCTTGAGAAATATTTGACCAATCTAATTTAAAATGTTAACCTGTCAAACTGTAAAATTCATAAAAATCTTGTAAATTACTTGATGTATTCAATCAAATTTTATCTTTAATACTAAATTTGCACCTCAAAAAACTTTTTCGTGCAATATTATGTCCTTCTTAGATTAGATGCTTCTGAGATTTCAACTCTATTAGAAAGATTGGGTACCACCATGTTTCGTGCTTACTTAATTTGGCACATTATTTACGTTTTTTGCTGCACATCTGGTATTTTGGTACACTTGATGTTGGTACAAATTAGACTTCTTCATGTTTCCTTTTTTCTGCATGATCTGTTATTCTGAACACCAAATTTGTTTCGAGAACGGACACTTAGGGACAAAAACATTTAAAATGGAAAAATGGGCTCTTTTTTCTTCCGCCCCCCCCCCCCTTCCCCCTCACCAACCTTACATAAGCATCAATTTTATGGTGTAACGAGGGGTTTAACAAGGTTAAAAATCAAAACCAAATATTCTTGTCAAAGACTAACTAGTCAGCTTACTAATTTTGTAACAATCAGCCAATATAAGCAGTAAGTTAACTAGTAAAATGTCTCAGGGGGGCGGGGGGGTTGGAGGAAAAAAGACAAAAACATGCTACAGAAGAGACTCCGAATGTCTTCAGCAAAATCGGATAATCAGGATGTAGGATTTTTGTTTAGCGTCCCTTCATCCAAAACATCCGAGAGATTCCCCTCTCCCAGCCATTTGTGTCTGGCCAGGGATTCGATCTCTACATCGACGGTGCCAGATTCCTTCCAGACACTGTCACTATTTCCAGAGTCACTGGGCGCATTTTCGACCACAGATACTCGGATAAAGTGTAAGACGGATTGATATGTATTAAGAAACTATTAAGAAAAATGTAACATCAAATATTGCTTCAGTTATTGGACCAAATCGTCTCTTTTCCAGTTTCCCACCCCCTCGTAAAATAACAAAAAAAATAGTTGCTGATAAATTGTTCATACGTCAATTTGCATGTAAAAAATATTTTAGCAATCTGTTCACTTGATCATGCTGACACGTTTTATTACAGTTTAGAACATCAAAAGCAATTTCAAATAGCCTTTTGTAAGTGAGTTTTCGAAAACAAATCAAAGGGGGAGGGGGAACTAGAAAAGAGCCACTAAAACTTATATCATCTAAGACTATCCGACTGTTGCAATAACTTAAACCTGTAAGCACCGTTTCAGAAGCTACAAAGCTTAAGACTGCAGAAAACTTAAGGAAAATTAAAAAAGAAAGTTTTGAAGAGTTTAGAATTTTTTCTCAAGAATTCTCAAGATCTATCAAGAACTTTTTCATCAAACCATCTTCAAAACACTAATTGGTTGTCGCGTTCTAGGGTGGCCCAGAGCATTTCGACTGGTATAAACCTGGACAGTGATATTTATAACCCGGATTATAACTACAGAGTTGAGTTCAGAGACATCGCATTTCCTCCTTCGAGCACACTGCTGGTTAAGGTGAGACGAAAAAATTGTTCGCAATTCTGGATTTTTCAACCCGCTTATATCATTCTCTTAGTGAGGCATGAATTTGATTTTGTCTTGAAGATAATTATAAAAAAATTCCACCCCCCATCTGCAAAAATTTAAAAGTTATCTTTTGTTCACAATTTTCAAACGTCACAAAATTTGGCATGCGAGCTTGTTAGGCCATGACAAACATATTTGGTCGTCATACTTAACGTTGTAAAACCAACCGTTAGACCAGAAAGTTGATGCTAATAAAGTGGGGATGGAGGGGGAGGAAAAAGAGCCTTAAAAACATAACAAGACTGCTCGTATATCAGTGCAAAGCTCTGAATGTTCCGACTGTCCCTTAGTTTATATCGTTTAATTTTTGCGAAAAGAAAATATTGCAAACCTATAAATATTGGACAATATCAAAGTGTAAAATTTTGAGTCATATGAAATTAATACGAACAATTAGTTAGCCTCAATTCAATTTGGAACGATTTTGTTGTGCAGGACAATTCGCAACGCATAAATAATTCGCGCTACGCTCTCAGCATTATGAATTAATTCTTCAAAGAGCGCATAATTTAGTCAAGAACATGGCAAATTTGGCAATTTTCAAACACCAGAACCTTACAAAAAATAATCGGAGGTGAAATATCTTTTTACATTTGAACTCAGGAAATCGACATCTTCAATGGGGTATAAAAATTTTTTATTGAAATTATTATTTCGATCGGTGAAAATTGACTGAATGAAAAAACCGCACCGAACATAAATATTCCGTTTTCTTCGAAAGTCGGAACAATAAGCTGTAATTAAGCAGATAAGCTTTTAAATTGAAACTTTCTAATCTGCGAAGCTTACCGAGTGGATCAAAGATGAATGGTGTCAATTAAATTTGTAATTAAAACTGTGGGTCTTATGCATTAAACGGCCCAAAATCACTATTTCTTCATCTTTCTTGAACTCAAATTAACGAGGTTGAATCAGATTCGCAAATTATGCGCTCAAATTCAAATGCCAAGCAGATAAACTTGTTGGCCGACATGACCAAAAATATAAAATTTTTAATCTGCTGAAGCCATTTTTCTGAATTTTTCTCGTCTGAGAAAAACTTACCATATGACTTGAAAATAATTTTTTCATAGGACGAAGCATAACATTTTGGTATTTTCGGCTAATAATTTTATCTGCTGGAAATTTTGATTGAATTGCCTGATAATGATGGTTGAATTTGATTGGCTAATATTAGCCATCAGATTGGACTGCATAAATTTTAGCTCAAGATATAGAAAATATTGATTTTGGGCCGTTTTGTGCATAAGACACAGAATTATTGTATTTTGCTACCAAAATGAATTGCAAGTCAAAATTCTTCTAAGATCCTAGTAAAAACTGAGTCAATTGAAAAAAGATTTTGACGCAAAAAAATGGCATTAAGTCACAAAAAACCAATCACCATAGTTTAAAAAGAGCTGCAATTAACATAATCTGAGAACAGAATAGAAATAATACAATACTTATTACAGTGATGACTTGAATTATTCGAGCAAAACGAAAAAAAGTTGAAATTTATATATAACACGTTTTTATCAAATAGTTGGCTTCAGACAAAAAAACGTACAAGGTGGCAGTTTTTAATAGCTCTCTGAATGTACTGTACTAACCAGTAATGAGACTCAAAAAATGTCGTTTCAGTTGTACACCATAGACCGACACACAAGACAACTTACCATCATTGGCTATGCCACTCTCAACATCTTCGTGGAATCTGGGTCCCAAAAGCAGCCAACCAACGACGCTTTAGGCACTCAGGTGTCTTTAAACGAAGGTTCAGTTTTTGCAAACTTCAACTAATCTATACAGGGGCGCATCTAGGGTTTTCTTTTTACGTCGACCAAAATAATTTTCCGAGCTCTCCCAAATTACTATTAAGACCCCATTTCAATCATATTTTCTGCGTAGCAAGCAAACTTTTGAAAAACCAAAAAAAATTGTTTGCAGACACTTTTAGGAAGGTTTTTTCACACGCTCCCCCACTGCTGTACTTAGAGCTAAACTCATTTCTGAACTGAGCTTCTCAATCGCATGTTCCCAGGAGGTCATCAGCTGAGGTTGTTCCACCAGGCCCCAGATGCACTCAGACCCCTCAGTGTTGCCTCCATCCCGGAGAGACACCGCTTCATCCCCTGTGCCAGTCTCCTAGTCCGATTGGTCAAAGCACCCACTGGACACGACGGCACACCTCTGCAGGTAACCATGATCACCATAGTAGAGCTTAGCTTTGCAGTTTTCGAAATTATTTTCCGAGCCAACTTCAAATTATATCAATGAATTCATTTAAAATAGTATTTATGTTACTGCAGATAGAAGCAATGTTTAAAGCTTCCCTCAAGTGCCAAATTATTTTAAAGCAAGCTTGAAATTGTTTGCAACGGATTTTGACAGCTAGCCAGTCGAGCTGCGCCTATAACTGCTGGCAAACCACATTGCCAGACTTTCAAACGCACTTTTAAATCATCTCCAATAGTTTTTATTTATAAAAGTTTCTCTGCTCCAAATTGAAGGCACTCCGAGTACCACAAGTGGACCATGCACGACTGGGATTGTGGGTGCAGAAACCGGACTACGCCTCGGGATTCTACTTCACGGAGAGAGCGGAACCCACCAGTGGGGAGAAGAAAATGCTCAGGGCCATGGCCAAGAGGAGGTATGGGCAATAAAAAGAATGGAGAAACCCCCCCCCCCCCTATGAGAGAAAAAAAAACCCTAGGAACGAGAGGATTTAGTGGGAAGGGAACTTATCATCTCTAAGAAACTCGACGCTTTGCCGTCCAAACGGTCCTAATTGCACTATTTTGAGCCATTCAATTTTGATCGAATATCATTCAATAGCTTTGAATGCAGCAATTATGGCATTTGTTGCATTTTTACTCTACAATTATTCACCGCACATAAGAAAAACAAAATAAGGTTTTTCGTAGGCAGTCATGAAAACCAATTTGGGTCAACCTAAAAAAGCGTGAGAAAATTTTAAATCATTTTTTTTACTCTACATCCTTTTTGACAAAGTACAAATTACTCTTCTCATTTCAAACATGCACGTCAGCATAATTATTTTACCTCATTTGATTTAATCAACGCCTAGTGAATTTTTGTCCAGGTACGTGACTGTTCGGGATGCCATTAGTTTGATTGCGGATGGGGAAGAGAAGCGGCTTGGCACGGATCAGCACATCGAAGCTTGGATCAGGGTATGACGTTCCATTTTCACAAAAAATTTTTTTTGGAAGTTTATTAAATTTTCACACTGCTATCGAAAAACATTGTCTTCATGTGAACTTATCTCAATTTAAAATCAACTTTATAGAATTGAAAATATTAATTTAATTTCATGTTTTGATAAAGAAACGCTTGAAAAATTGATTCCTATAGCCTAGCAACTCTGCAATTTGAGGTTTTAAGTAATTTAATCGCTAAGAAAAGAATTAACAGCAGAAGTGTATCTAAAATTTTCTCAAAGGGGCCCCGGATTTTGATCGCTTTTTTTCTTGACCAGTCAAATTGAGTTTTCGAATTCTCTTAAGACACCATAAAGACCCTATTTTGAAAAAAACTTCTGCACCGCAGGTGAAAATTTGTAAAAACAGGCAAAAAAAAACGTTGTAGGCACTTTTTAGAAGGTTTTGACTATAAACATCGCGTTTTGTTGGCGTGCGCTCCCCCCTCAAATTTAGCATATAATGAAGTTTTATACATGCGTCTTTTGGAAATCTTATGGTCGGTGAGTCAAAAAAAAAGATGTCTCAAAACAAAACCAAGGACGGGACCGTCAGTTGGTCGAATCCCTGAAAAGGGTAAGGGCGTCCACACCCCACACCTAAATCCTACCGAGAACGGCTGACTGCTTGAAGTCATTTCTTTGACTGGGTATTTTCGCATCACCCTCAATCTACGAGTGCTTCCGGGTTGTCAAAAAAGCTTAGTCATACAATTTCTCGGCCACTTCAAACATTTAAAAAATTTTTTGATTTGGAAAATTTATGACTAGCATTTTTAGAACAAATTATCAACCAAGGTAACTTATCCTATCATCGGTAAATTTCGTTTCAGAACCACTTGACGCGTCTTATGGATACAACTCCTGCAGATCATACCATACACCACATCACACCTTACTTGCCTCACTACGGGTTCAAGGTCAGTTGACACATCTCAATATTTTATCCTAGAAAGGTGATGAAACCTTTTTTGTGCAGCTAATCCACGAGGAATTCTTGATTTCAGATGCGATTTCTGCGAATAGACAAAACAGTGACACTTTTGTGTATTCACTTGTTTTGGATGACTAATTTGATAAGTTCAAAATCAATTAATTCGATCTAGTTAAGGATGTCAATTGCGATTGGGTGATTTGTGTCTAGATCGCCTGTGACGCTGCAATGAATCTTCCATGGAGTCGCTTCACCCATGCCATGATACTCTTGAATCCTCCTGGAGCCTTCTATTACGTAAGACTTTGCATAACTTTTTTTTTGACAAAGATGTAAATTTGTTCACATAACCCGAAGGTTAAAGAACTCATGCTGTGTGATACAAGTTTACAAATCAATAAATAAAATTTATTAAATCCAGGCTGGCTTCTAAACAATATAGTAATAATTAAAAAATTATAAAGTAAATGTGCGAGTTTCAATTCTGGTATCTTAAGAAACGAGGCATATGTGAATGCAAGCATGGAATGCTTGGGAACCCAGAATAGCTTCCACGAATGATATGATCATGGAAGTCCAATTAACTATTAGCGCGTACATTTATTTGGGAGAGCTGGAGTTTCTTAGGCCTCTTTCTAATCTTTTCTATTTTATATGCCGTTTTTTGAGATGAATTTTTTTGCTAACGAACGAAATCTTTCAGAATATTAATCAAGTCCGCTGCAGATCATAAAGCTATTTGTGATGTCTCGAGTTTTTAGGCTAGAAATTTGTGCTTTAACTTCAAGCAACGAGAACCGATCGTGTTCTTTCTCGAATCACGAAAGTTTTTGTTGAGATGAGAAAACACTAACAGCTTCTAGTTCATTATACGTACTGCCATGAGAAAAAATTCGTCGCATATGACTTTTCGTCGCAATTAGAAAAACGGCAACTCGTTTAAATGCATTGTAATTAGAATTTTTTGGTTAGTTCCGTGAAACAGTCCATATCGAACCTCTGTTGATTCATCATAATTGCTTTATTTTATTTTTATTCAGGGTGGCGATTATGCTCGTTACGATAGGATCAGCTACACGACTAAATTGGTGTGGGACGAGGGTATTAAGAGTCCCATTTGGGTAGACGACTTCAAAGTGTTCCGAAACAGGGCTTTCAACTCAAACCTCAACTTCATCATACATCTACAGGAGGTAAATGCAAAAAAGAACTGATGATCTCCCCATTGATTCAGTTTCAAAAAAAACAATGATAAATAGAATGACTCACAGATTTCTCTGTCAGGGTGTTAGGGCACCTGGCAACTTGCGTTAACTGAGAATTAACACTTAGAAATAATAGGAAAATGTCCTGGCAATATTAGGAAAACTTAAAATATCTATGGTACTACTAGAAAAACACAACACAAAAAAAAATCATTTTAACCAGTAGCGGATATTGCGGGTAACTAAGAAAGAATTTAGTTTCAATTCCCCCCCCCCCCCCCCTCACTGAAATCGCCGCAGATTTTTTATGGGAGCTTTTGCAGATATTCGGGGCAAAATTTGCGAGGAACAAACGAAATTTGCCCTTAATTTAGAAGGGACGAATTTGTACAAGGGAGGGGCGAAATGTGTGTAGACCATTTTCAACATATGCGAAAAAAGTCCGAATAAGCTGAAGATTTATTTCATTTTCGTTCCAGATTGATGTGAAGCCGGTGGGTAAGAACTACAAGTACCAACTGCAGGAACAGGCCTGGACTTCAGTCAACGTCTTCTCTCTAGACTACGTCGTCAGCCAGTCATTCCAGCTGCCACTCCTTGAGGGAGCACCCAGGTATAACTGCACTCACATGAACAAACAAATTATTTACATGAAAAAATTAGTTTGTATTTCAAATAAACTGCAAAAAATATATGTAATTTTACATGATTGAACATTTTTATCACACGTGACACGCAATTTCTTCCGAGGTTTTAACCACTTGCGTGAAATAAATATAATGCGTTTTTTTTTTGTAATTTTACAGGTTCATTTTAATTTTATTGTATAAGTTGAATATTTTTTATATCTAAATACGAGATGAGGTCATTTCGCTTACAAACAACCCTAAAAAGTGGACTTTAACGCATATTGCAATACATCACATTAATTTTACCGGAGAAAAATAATACCAGCGAAAGTATATAATTTTATCAATCTTTACAAACAATCATTCAAAACACTAATTGATGAGAAAAACGAAAGCCTATTTCTTCGTGATCCTTTCGGTAGTGTTTCAAAATTCAAACACAGAGGCGAAGCTGAGCTTAGCACCACTTGCAATCCAACAATTAAAAGATTAAAACAGCATGACGCTTAAGAAGCAGCGAACAAGACTTCGAGCGAAGAAAAAATTGAAAAAGGAACCAGAAAAACAAAAATTTTGCAAAATGAAAAAGACGTTTATTCTTGATTAAAATTCTCTAAGTTTTTTAAGATGACCTTGTGGGTTGATATTGAGTGAACATCCGAAAATATGGAGCCAAAGACTTTTCAAACTTAAAAACGAAACCGGAAATTTGTAGAAAACAAAAGATTAGGCGGAAAAGATGACGAAATTTTAGCCGACAGCTAATAAACTAAAAATCAACCAAAATGTACTGCTTAATTAGTTTCCACGAATGCAAGACCCCGTCGTGAACTAAGCCGACAGAGTTTAAGTCGACAACCATAAAGCAGAAAACTTGGTGTTGCAACGCAAATGTAGAGTATAGATGCATATAAAACAAGAGTATAAATGCATATAAAACAAGCACAGTTGGCCGAGCGGCCTAGAGACAAGTCTCTCACGCCGGTCAACCGGGTTCGAGTCCCCCATATGCAGACCTTAAAACATGTAGACCCGAGGGGCTATTGCCCCATTTGACCGTTTTTTGTTGTTTTTTTTGGTTCTAATTCGGTTCAGCCTTGATTAAGGCTGACCGCCAAAAAGATCAATTTGTCTCAAGGACATTACCGACCGGTTCTTGTGGCTAGCTTGCGCCGATTTGTACTGAAACAAGTGGAGAATTGAAGTTATATGATGTTATGCTTGACCAAAAATATGATAAATATTGAGTTTCCGAGAGTTTTTGCCGATAAATACTCTTTATAATTCAAAGCATTCGACTTCATAGTTTTTTACCAACTTACGGAGATTGAGCGAGCATATTTTGGCGCCCCACAAGGGACTCGTTGATAATTCCCTTTCTAGAGTGTAGTATTGCTACACGAGAGACACGACGAGTGTTTTGTTTGGCCTATTTCAACACAAGGGACAGACGACGACACAAAGTCGATCGAAACAAGGGACCCGAAATCGTCAGAATGATCACCAGGCCGAATTGTGTGGTTGGCCGAAAATATCAGCTACCAGTTGGCCGAAAATATCAGCTACCAGTTGGCCGAAAGGTAGCGTTTGGCGGAAAAGTGACCAGTTGGCCGAAAGTGGGCGTTTGGCCGAAAATACCAGATACCAGTTGGCCGAAAGTGGGCGTTTGGCCGAAGGTGGGCGTTTGGCCGAAAGTGGGCGTTTGGCCGAAAATACCACATACCAGTTGGCCGAAAGTAGGCGTTTGGCCGAAAATAACAGATACCAGTTGGCCGAAAGTGGGCGTTTGGCCGAAAGTGGGCGTTTGGTCGAAAATACGAAAACGTCAGAGTACCGAATTGGTCGAAACTCTTCACACAGTTTACTTGACGAAAGTGGGCGATTAGCCAAAAGAGCCGACAGACGACATAGCAGACAGACGAAAGAGCAGACTGACTAGCGGAAGAGAGGCCTGTTCAGGTGTCCTGATTGTTGACTTTTGGTCAAAGTGGAGCTGTGTTTTTCTCGACACCCGAAGTTTTGGATTTTTTCCCCGGTGACGCCAATCTCCAATTAAAAACTGTAAGACTCGACAAACTTTTAAAACTTTCCATTCGTGCTATAAGTTTATATACGATGTCATATAAGCTAGAAATTTTCCCGCAAGCTAGCACCCGGTAATTTTTTTTCTCAATACCCAAAATTTTTGGACAGTTCCGTTAAACTGAAATATCTTACAGTCGGTACATAGACAAACTGACTTGACATTTTTTTCTCGATACCATAACATTTTTGGATATATGTGAACGGAATATTGTGACATTCGACCAGAATGTGAAAAATGCAATCTCTGCAGAATTCGGAATTTTAGCAGTAAGCCTTCCGGATTGGTGGTTTTTAAGAACTAAGAGCGTTATTGGAACGTTTGGCCAGACGGTGAGGGCTAGAATATTCTGGTATTTTAAAATTTCAAAAACTCGAATGATGACGTCAGATTTCTGAGAAATGCTGAAACGGCCATTTTTAACAAAAAACGAGAGAGAAAACACAACAACATTAGTTGCGCTGACGATAACAACGATAATCGTGATTGAAAAACAGCAGCAGATTGCAGGAATAGCAGAGAACGTTCCGAGTTGCAACTATTGTGCTGCTACAATAGTTGCAAGGCCGTTGCGAACAACGGTGAAGGGTAAGAGACAGCCTTCCGGATTAAGAAGAAATCAAGATTAACGAGCTTGATTCAGTGGATTCGTCAATCCGGAAGGGTAAAGGAACGAGAACTTTTATCCTGTTGCATAAACTTTTAGCTTCCTGTCATGTCCTGACTTGAATTTAATTAATATCTAGATTCATTTTGATAAGGATGAGAAGCTAGGAGTTGGGGGGAAAGGGTTGATCCATCTTCGATGGAGATGATGATTTTTATCTACTGAACAAAAACAATAGTAATATAATAAGTAGCAACCCTGTTTTTAGGAGTGACCTCGTGGGGATACTGAGACCCAGCCATGAGCTCACTATTTACATGTAATTAAGTTAACTTGAGCGTTCTGGTCGAAGCCGGAGAACAGTAACGTTTTTGTCGACCCGATGTTAGAAAGACCACCGAAAAGTACTGGCTTGGTAGAGACGGTGAAAAGCATGCAAAGCTCTGTTTAGACGTTAGCCAGTCGTCTTAAGACTTAGTTTTGTTATCCGTCGATATGTATCTTCCGGGCGAATGTTACATATTAATCCATGAAATCGGATCATAGACAAGAGGTACTGGACTAGTTTTTTGGATTGGTTTATGACTCAAACCTGCTGACCACAATTTTTCGAAAATTTTTGTGAAAAAAGTAAACAAATTGCCAAAAAATCCTATAAAAGTCCCCAGAATTCTGCGGAACTGTGCTGTAACATGACACCAATCTTATGGTAAGTGGTCTGGTAGCGAAATATCAGGCAAATTAAGCTGAGTTTTTCATCCTCAGGTTTCTTCCGCGTGTGTTGTTGGAACTTAACCAATTTGCCTGATCCCCCACCCACCATTGGTGAAACTGAAAGCCAGTTCACTTCAAATAAAACAAAGCCGTTTCAGCCCGTCCGATTATTGACTTCGTTGCGTGACAGTAAAGTTAAGTGGTCAGGTAGGGTGATAATAAGTTGAATTCTTTCATCCTCAGGTTTACTCCGTGTGTGTTGTTGGAGTTCAACCGACCTACTTATTTTTTCCAACCCCATTGGTACTTAAGCGTAACGTAGCCGTCGCATAGGTACCATAAGTATATGGTATTCATTCTAGGAGCTAGTTCCTTGGATCACGCGCTCCGAAAACTTCCCGCTCCGTCCCAGAAGCGCGTCAAAGATACTTGCTTTACGAAGCCAGGTTTAAGTTTGAACTTTAACGCTAGGGACTCTCAGAAAACAATACAGTACTACCTTCATCACTACTTGTCTCACAGTAATGACCTTGTAATTTGGTACGACGCCATTAATAACTCGATAAGTAGGCACCGCAGCAACAATAATCGCAAGCTGAGTAGTGAGCAACTTGTCAATTTATTATTAAGGTATAGGACAAACATTTGTGCAATCGTATACTGTAGACGGAACGGAACCGAGGATAAAGAGGAAAGTTTAGGTTCAACAGGTATTCTCGTTCTGAACGCCGTCAAAGACTTTATCTCTAAGCGTAAGGATAAGGACCAGGTTCTAATTGAGAAGTACAAAGAGCTTCACCAGCCTCCTTCCCTTGAGTTAAAGACTCTCCGCCTTCTAAGGCGTTATAGCGCTAATCTTAACGTCCTTAAGACACGTAAGAAGCGGAACCGCTTACCCCTCAAAGCTCGGAAAGCTATAAAAAATAGGCTTCAGGCAGAAGCTTTGAGACGTCAAGTTCCCCCATCTTGTAAGCTATTGTTGATTTATTATTGCAAATTTAATTACGTACCAAAACAGTATGTCATTTTATTGACTGTTTACTATAAGTGAGCATCCGTAGAATATTGTCAATTTGTGAAAAACATGGACGAAAAATTCCAAAGTAAGATACGCAAGTTATTTGAAACCCTTCTAAATCTAGAAAATGAGCTGCTTAAAGGTCACTCATTATTACTTGAGTACATTGAGAATAATAGTCGCACCACAAAAATTGATAATGCTGTGTACAAATGTAAAATTGCGTTGGAAAAAGCTGTCGACGTCAATGAACAATTAATAAGGTTAGTGGGAAAAACGGAAAACCCTGAAAAAATTATTGCTCAGCAAGACCTTTGGCTTAAGAAAATAACCGAAATGAACGATAAAGTAATGCATGAAGCTCAGAGTTACAAGATGAGCCTTGAAGCTTCGTCATTTTCAGCAGCCGGCATTACAGGGAGCAAGGGATCTTTACAACAAACTAGGTCTGAGACATCTTCACGCTCGCACAAAACAAGATATTCAGAAGCACGAGTATCTGAAAACAGGTCTAAGGTCTCTAATAAATCTAAGGATAGTAGAAAGCTTGACCTTACATAAG